CAATATGGTCCAATACTATATTTTGGGGGTGATGGGGTACCCACATACCCATATTGGCAAGGACCCCCGGGGTCCAACACCGAGACTCGATCATTCCCTGATGAGTACGGTAACTATGATTACCGTGTTCCCGGTGGGAGCGACTATAGGGGTGATCCTAACTACCCCTATGTACACCCCGAGGGGGCATTATGGTTGGCCACCCGGTTACACCGGGGGATGGGATCCTTATGGTCCCCCATCCGGGTTTTCCTATGATGGGGATGACAATGATGGCTCCGGGCCGAGTGGTAGTGGTAGCTAGTTCCCTCATTTTTGTGTCATTTGCCTCCATCCCTTGTCTTATGTGTGCTTGCTTTGTATTGATGGGATGTTGTGATGTATCTATGATTAGCTTTAGGAAACTTTCCTTTTCTTAGGGGTTTGTCTTGGTGGCCAATTTGTTTTTGAAGCTTGCCTTGTTTCTTTTGCCTCTTTGTATGATGGTCTCTTTCTCTTGATCTCTCTTTGATGGTTTTTGCTCATTCTTAATCTTGTTGTTGTAAGGATTTTTCATTGATGATGATTCATGTGTTGCTCCCTATAATCCTACCCCCTTATATACAAATCCCTTGAATCCAAACCCTTGAATCCAAATTTTGTAGCTTAGTACTTTGTTGATTAGTTAGATGTTTAGTTGGTTATTTAGTTCTTATTTTCTTATTTTTCCTTTCTTGAAAGGTTAGTTTAGCTTATTTTTGCTTATTAGTTTCTTTCCTTTTTGTTTTCTTTTCTTTTCTTTTCTTTTGAAGTTACTAACCGTTTTCTTTGTCTATAGTTCTCTTTTCTATTTTTGTTCTCACATGGATTTGACAATGATGCTTTGTTTCTTGGAGCTTCATGAGGTGGTTGATTCTTCACCTTACTATTTTAGCATTGCTCGGAATCCGGTGAGATCTTTCTTTTTTTTTTTATCTCTTTTATTTTCTTGGATGCATAGTTTAGGATTAGTTTTAGGATAAGTTGAATGGTCTGAGGATGGATGCTTATAATACCTAGAGTGTTTGAGATCATTGGCGATGTTGTCATTTGATCGCTTGTTTGTTGATTTGGAATTACGTGTTATGCTTGCATTTTCGTTCCATTCTTTATTTTCCTTCTTTTCCTTTATCTATGTTTTTCTTTTTCTCCTTTATTTTCTTTTATTTTTCTTTCTTCTTGTTTTCGGTTTTTGGTATGTTTTGACGCTTTATTTGTCACTTTTTGTTTTTCTTTTGAATTGGACTATATACAACCGATTTTTGCTTTTGAATTAATATCTTCCTAAGTGGTATGGGTATGCACGGTTTGAGAATATGCTTGGTTAACTCTAGGATAGGTGTATGCTAAGGTAGCATGTCTAAGTACTAGGAGGATCGTGAAACCGGATTCTACTTGTTTGTGGCATGTCGGTAGTTGCTTCCTATAGTCGATTTGACACCTATAGTGAGTTTTTGCTACATCCTTGTGAGGTTCATCATTTTTCAAGCCTTCTACTTATTTTGCATGAGCGGCATGGTTCCTTGACTATTGCAGACCTAATTTTGAATCTTGACTCATAATTCTCAAACACGAGACCGAATATCTAGGGATGACAAAGACATCTTTTCGGGTGGTAATTTTTTTTTTCTAGGTTGATTTTCTTTCTTTTTAGTTCATTGGGTTTACATTTGCCCTCTTGCTTACCATTTGAGCTTTTTCCCTTCTTTTCAAGCCACTTCTTTAGAATTTTGAGCCTTTTGTTTCTTTTTGTTCTATTTTTGGTTTTTGTGAAGCAAATGGTCATTTTTGGAGTTTGTGGTGTATAAAGTTGGATTTTGGTTCTATTTGTAAGCAAGCTTGTCTTTTGCACATATTGTGAATAATAAAAAATGAATGATGGAAAAATCCATTCTAAGTTATAAAAAAAAAAAAGGCAAGGACATGACATATTAATGCAACGTTGTAAAAGTCGTCCAAAGTCATAAAGGCGAGGAAAATTGCTTTAAATACATGTAATGAAAAAAAAGGTTAAAAATGAGAAATTCCAAAAATATTTTGATGTGATTCTTTTTCTTTTCAAGCATTGAGGACAATGTTTCCTTTAAGCTTGGGGGAGAAGTGTTTACGCTTTTTATAAATATGCTTGTGGTTATAGCTTTGAACAAGCTTGGGGGAGTTAGTTTGTTTTTGTTTGGTGATTGCTTGGATATGAGGAGAAGGTTTAATCACCCTTTGCTTCACTAATTAGGAATACCGCCAAATTTTAAAATTTTAAGCCTACCCTCACCCTTTTTGCCCTTACGTTACAACCATTGGGAAAGACCTTTCGACCTAGAAGTTGAGTTACATTTTGACGGGGGGAATTATGAATTAAAGCCTAAAGATAGGGGATGCATAGTTAAGACGTCGAGTAGCCCAAAAAAAATGTGTTCTTTTCCGACTCCTTCGAGGAGCTATTGAGATGCTCATTAGAGGGAGATTTGAGACTATAGGGAGAACACGGTAAGATCGAACGGGATGAAGGTGAGTTGTGATAACTAGTTCTCTATGCTTAGCATATTCTATGTTTCAATCAAACTCGGATATCTTGAAACGTGCATACCCCTATTTGCTTAAGAAAGATGTTTATTCATTTGAATTGTAGTCATTTTGTAAAGTCCAATTGGTAAAGGTTTCAATTTTGCTTTTCTTTCTTTTACTTTCCTTTTTGGTGGTTTGCCTCAGGTATGTTGGTGGAGAGTTATAGGTTCAGCTCTTAAAAAACCTATACGAGACCTCACTCGTTATCATAGGCGACTTTGGGGTTTAAAGGGCTTGTTGTAGCTAAAAACAACCGTGATTCCTACGATAGTGAGTCTTAGTGTAAATTCTCATCTTATGTCATTCTTTTTCCTTTTGAATAAGTCTTTCATCCTTACTCTTTCTTTCTTTATTTTGCTCGAGGACGAGCACAAGTTTAGTTTGGGGGAATTTGATGAGTGTCATTTATGGCACTCATTTGGTTCTCTTTAGGGTGAATTTCATGCTATTCTATAGCTCTTTTCCTTAGCTTTTCCTTAATTTTACTCTTTATTTCTTTAGTTTGAATTTTCTTAGTTGAATTTCTATCTTTATGCTTTCTTGGTTTATTTTGTTATTTTCTCTTTTATTTGCTTGTTTTCCTTCATTTTTCAGGTTAAGGTCGTTATCCAAGATTCCCGAGGCCTCTTCCCAAGTTTGGCATTGATTAGGATACCTATTGTTCTCCATTTTAAGCTCAAGCATGGAGAACTGCAAGTTCCTAAAGACCTTAGGCCGTGCATCCAAGCCGTGGGGGCATGATTTCTCGTGTTGAACCCACAAACATGGAGTTCGGAAATTGCTAGGTCCCGTGTTTATCAAGAGCATTGAGTGGAATGCACGAGGATCGTCGACATGATGGTGAAGAGGGCTTCCCTATTCCCAGGCGCGGCCGCGCGGCCTGGTGGCGCGGTCATGCCTGTCTGGGTCTCTGTTCTGTACCCAGATCAGCGCGGCCATACTATCCTTTATAGTTGGTTGCGCCTGTACGAGTTTATTTGGGGACGATTTAACTAATTTCTCTTTGTTAGTTTTACTATATATAGATTTTCATTCTATTTTTAGAGAGAGAAGATTAGAATAGATTTTGTAGAATTAGAATATGAATTGTAGAGAGAGAAACTCTAGATTGTAGAGAGAGAAGTTCTTGATTAATGATTGAAGATTCATGATTCCAGCATTTTCTCCATTGAATTGAAGTAAGTTTGTAAGGATTTCTTTTACCTTAACGCAATCGTTAGCTTATCATTTCAATTGTTTTGTTGATTGTTCAAGTTTGAATTGAATTTGTGATTGAATTAGTTTCGTTGATATGATGATGATGAAATTGTTGATTAGATTAGTTTTGATCTTGATTTATATGGATTGTGAGTAGTTCTCTTGCTAAGGGAATGGTGAAGCATATATGAGTAATGGATTGATGCTAACTGGGGGAAATTGATGGAGTTGATGTTGTGATTAAATTGGTTGATTGATTAAGTGCATCTGTATGATTAATTGAAGAGTAGCTAATTTTGATTGTTACACTACAATGCATTGTAAGCTCACATTGATAAGGAAAATTTTTTGTGGCTTGCTTTTGCCGATTGAGTAGGTTTGCAAGGTTCCTAGTTAGAGTCTCTCGTAGTTGACTCTAGCTTGACCTCTAGAAGATAAGCCTACCATACTCTCTTGATTGCTTAATTGATTTTCCTTTGCAACACTCGACTTAGTCATCTCCAATCCCAATTAGCTATATCCATTTCGAGTATATGCTGATCCTAACCCTAGTGCTTGATATTATTTGATTTCTTCTTGATTATTTGATTGTTTAGAATATACACACCTTACTTCATTACTTTGAGATAGCTTAGCTTTAGCATTAACATTCATCTCCCATTCCTAGTGGTTCGACCCTCGACTTACTCCTCTGCTAGGTATAAGGGTGTGTTGAGAGATTACAAATTTTTTTTTTTTTGACCGAGAGTAGATTAGTTTTCAACGACCTAGTCTCTACCCTAGATCATCCATACGCTTCAGCAGCCACGCACCAAGGCCGCAACCTAAGCAGCCAGCACACAGGAACCAACCAGCAGCCGCGAGCTGGTCGCGGGCGCGAGGGTGGCTGGGCACAGGCACGGGGTGGCTAGCCGCGGGCGCGGGGTTCACTACTACAAAATTGGGTTTAAGTAACACCTATTGGTAACACCTTAAAAGTTCAAGATTGTTTAATTTTTACGTAACACTTTTGTAACATTATGGTATTAAGTAACATTTAATGTAACACTTTAATATAATGTAACACTTTGTTGTAACACATGAATATTAGGTAGCACTTGATTGTAACACTTATGCATTTATATATGATCAATCCTTTTTTTCTTATCAGGTTTGTTTATTTTATTTATTTTTTTATTCTACTAACCCTTTATTTTATTTTTTTAATAGTTCTAACCCTTTACTTTTTTTTTTCTTTTATTCTTTTTAATTATTATTCTTTTTTCCATTATATCTCATCTTATTCTCGATCTCAAATAGTTGATCTCCTTCTCCTCGAAGATAAAGGTGCATACGCCCTACCGCAGCCGCAGTGACAATCGTAACCACCGCTGACCACAAATTCTCTCTTCCGTTTTCTTTTCTCACTCCTTTAGCAGTCTAGTTTTGTCTTCTTCATCTCGATCTTAATTTCCTCCAATGGCCGCAATTTTCTAGATATTTTCCCGCAGATTAATCAAAGATGCCCTCCTTTCCCCCAATTTTACTTGCAGGTAATCGTACTATGCTTTTTTTATATCATCCAATTTCCAGTCCAAAATCTTGGTTTATGGTTAATTAATTGAGTTTGTATAATTAATATTCTCTATAAAATTTGTTATATTTATCCTATAAATCCTATTGTACTCAAAATTGCAGATAAGACATTGTCTTTGTGAAATTAGGGGTAATTTCTCTCTACTCCAATTTGTGCATAATTAATGTTTTTTTATATTAAACTTTGACACATTTTACGTACATGATATATGGTTTCAATTTTTACATACAGATAGGTGAAACATACAATGGTTTTGATAAATTTCAGTTATAGGTTTTAATTATTGATGATCAATTTCAGCCTAATTTCAGACTAATACTGTACTTTCACTTTGCTTCATTTCCTCTTGTAGTCATGTGAGTTCTTGATAATGGCGACAGATGTTAATCATAAGCTTCGATCAAATTGCATTGGCCTTCGATTCAATAAAGGTTTGATTCTTATTAAAAATCTAGATTTTTCTTTTGATATATTTGATTTTCATATTGATGTGATTTGTTTTTTGGAACTATATTTTTTTAATTTGGTTTTGTCAGGGAAAAGAGGATAGAGTTCAATTATGCATAGCTTATTTTGGGATTTTCTTTATGATTTTACATACATAGGTTGTGAGTATATATTTTGATTTCTCAACTTGTGGAAAAAGGGGGGAATTGGGTTCAATCTTGAACTAATCATTGTACGCATTAGCTTGGATAAATAATTGTGATTAGTTTCTCTGTATCACTCACAATCCACAACATCAATCATGTTTGTGTGTTTTGTAATGGCCTGGGGTTTAATTTCACAAGTAATAATTTAATACAACACATTATTAGTTGAATAGATTTCTATAATGAGTATAATTTGCTTTGTATTAGAATACTTTTATTATAAAATCGGGTCAAATGTCATAGGTAATAGTGTAACACCAAGACTTTTTCAGTTGGATGATTGGATTTTATTACTTCTATTAGAAACTACATGGAGTCATCATAGTGTTTTTTAGTAGTCTAATTTCCTAGTCACTACTAAATATGAGGATTACAGTTCTATAAATTGAAAAAGCTAAATTGAAAAGGCATAGGTTTATAAAAAAAAGTAATTCAACACCATTAGTTGAGCTTACCATTAGTTAAACATATTTCTCTTTTGCTATCTGAAAGCATGATTTATCAGACCTTACTTTAGCAAGTATGCTTGTAGATTAATTGATGTATACATTGCATAAGCATGGTGGTGCTTTCTTATAGATGATGATATGATTTTTTAGTCCTCCTAAAACAACTCTGATGTTTATTTTTCTTTATTGTTTCTTTAGTAAGCTAGAACTAGTGTTGCCCATTTTTTTACTTCTTATTCTTCTTAATAGTGTGATAACATTTTGCTTTTCATGAATAGTGTTGATTTTTAATCCCTTCTTATGTAATTACATGTCAGGTTTGGTTTGCTTGGACTACTGGAATAATAATGCATTTTGCATAGCTTTTGCCATTCCTACTACTGTGAAATCCGAATAATGCCAAGGATATAAAACATGAAGCCTATAAATTAGACTTTTGCTCTATGTATAAAAGTCGATAGAGCAAGGGTGCAAGTTGCGACAAGGCAGGGCATAATAGCCCCTTGTCTTTAAGATTCCTAGTTTTACTATTGTAAAAAAAGAGTATACTTGTGTATTTGTATATATACTAATGTTTTTTTTTTTTGGGTGAAGGAGAGGGGCGATGCCCCTGGATGTATTTATACAAATGTAAATATAGTAATTATAATAAGTTATAATCAATGTTAAATCATTTTATTATTATTATTGTTATTGTTATTGTTATTGTTATTGTTATTGTTATTGTTATTGTTATTGTTATTGTTATTATTATTATTATTATTATTATTATTATTGAATAAAGTGCTACTACATGTAAAAAGATGATTCAAAAATGTTACCTAATAATAAAAAAGGTGTTACATGTGTTTGCAAGAGTGATACACAATATCGGATAAAGTGTTACCCTAAGATTGAAAAATTATACTAAAGATAAGTAAGTGTTTCATAAGAAATAAAAAGTAACACTTAAAAAATGATACCAATAATATAAAAAAATGTTACATCAGAATGTTTATAGTAACATTTTTAATAGTGTTACCATACGTTACCCAAAGTGTTATAAGACCTTAGGTAACATGGGCGGATGTATCATCCACTAAAGTGTTACCTATTGTCTATAATAACACTTTTACCACTTTATGTAACACTTTTTGGGTGTTACTTGAGGTTAGTTATATACTAGTGGTTGCTGCAGCCCAAAATAGCTGATTCCGAGCAGTAACTTGCTGCGGTCTGGCCGTGGCGTGGGTTGCAGCCGCGGGCGCGGCCTCGGGCTGCTCTATTCCATCTTTTCTCCTCCATAGGCGCGGCCGATTTCTCCGCGGGCGCGGCTTTCTAGGTTTTATTTGCGATTTCATTTCTTTTCTTCGTTTGTTTATATATTGTACGGCTTTCATTATTCTTCATACATTAAATTATTTAGTTTAGAATAGTTCTCTTTCCTCTAAGGAGGATTAGGTTAGTTTAGGTGTCTCTCTCTCTAGATTAGGAGTAGTTTTAGAGAGAGAAAGTGAGGGATTGCAATGGTGATTGAGAGATTGAAGATACAAGGGTGACAATTGTGTTGAAGATCTTCTCTATTATCAATGAGCATTCTTAACTCTATCTCACCTTATTGATTTGTTTAATTTCATGTTTGTTTGGTTTAATTATGATGTTTGATGCTTAATTAGTGTAATTGTTCTTGATATATTGTTGATTCTTGATTTTCATAGTTGTTAGTTGATAGACGATGATTCTTGAATAGTTGTTTGGCTAGGAAATGGGTGAAACTTGTATGATTAATTAATTATGATTAATTTGGGAATTGTGTTGATTGATTGTTGAGATTAAAGTGATCAATGAAGGTTTGCATGTGTGTAATTCGATTAGGCCTTGAGAATTATGCTATATTGCATTGTAATTGCTAATGACACGAACAATTAATTTAGGAATTGCAATTATCGATTGATTTTTATTGTGATTCTCTTAGTTTGTTATTCATAGTGCACCCTAGCTTAACAATTAGGAGATATCTCTTTGATTCCAATTGATTGCTCTTATCATTAGTCTTCACAACCTTTGATTGGCATGATCTTCCCAAGTTGTTGCAATTGACATGATTACTTGTTGATCCCATTCCTAGTGTTTTATTTGTTTGGTTGCTTGTTTTGTTAGTTGTTAGTGTTACATCTTACCTTTGATTTTGACCTAGCTTAGGCGCATAATTGAAAGCATTTAAACATTACTGTTCCTTTGGGTTTGACCCTTGACTTGCCTATATACTCGTATTTAGGTTTGTTAAGTGTTTATAAATTTAGTTTGACCGAGGGAAGATTAGATAACGACCTAGTTTTCCTCTCTTCAGTTGTATCATATACATGCCATCCATCAAGAGCATTTCATGAAGGTGATTTTGATCTCCATTGCTAAAATTCTTAATCAAAATTAGCAATCACTAGAATTGTCCAAATAGGCTTACGCATCTAATAGGTTTGACCCTTTGAAGCCTATCATGGACTAGCACATCTTTACAGACATGGAGTTCATACTGGATTTCTTGGCTTTAAGCCATTTCTTGAGTTGGCAATTTTCCAAAGCTTGCTTGTAGGGCATGTATTCCAACCATTCCAATAGAAAAATTTTAGAATCCACCTTTTCTCGGAATTTCAACAAACTGTTTGTTTTGATCCCAAGTGATCTACAATATGTATGAGCAATAATAGAATTATTTTCTTCAACTCTTTGAAGCTTTTCATTCAAGTGGGACGATAGAAGCCTTGCTAGTGGAATTAGCTTGCTTCGACACATGGTTTATCAATTTATCTAATTTCATATGCCTTTGTCTCTGATGTGGTGTTATTCACATCCTTTTATTGCTCGTCTCGAATCTCATCAAGATCTAACTTTACTCCTACTTGGCTTTGTAGGAAGAGATTCTTTCTATAAAGACACTATCGCGAGCAACAAACATTTGTGTTTTCTACGCGATTGTCGGAATAATACCTCTTAGGATCCATGAGAAAACCCGTGAAGAACTTTTTGTCTGATTTAGGGTCTATTATGTCATCTTTGTAAACATTTTACATTGATTTCATAACACTTAATCCTGTTTGAAAAAAGATAACTTTTGGAACATTTCCAATTCATAACTCTTGTGACATCTTTTCTACTACTTTGGTTAAGTTTCCTGTTTAGTATATTAGCAATTGTTGTTGTAATATATGCCCTCAAAAAAATATTTGTAAATCATTAAAGCTAATCTAGGATCGAACCATGGCAAGCAAAATTTGAATCCTTCTTTAAATATACATTTTAATTGTAATGTTTCTGGATTGTGAACTAATTCAACAATTCCCTTTTAGATGATTGTTTATTTTGAGTTAAATATTTATCATAACAATCATATTGCGGTGGTAATTATTCAAGTCAAACTGATTTTACATTTCATTTTAGAATTTTGAACATTTCAATGATTCCAAGCTTTACTTCATTAAGCAGTTATCAATATAATTACTTAAATCATTAGTAAAAGCAATGAAATAATTAAATTTCTTTGCTAATTCTTGAACTTATTGGTTCACACACATCATATGTTTGTGTTCCAAAAGGTCATTTTTAGCTCTTTTACCCTTTTAACTAAAAGGAAACTTGGTCGTCTTACTTTATCAAGCATGACTTCTAATTCTCAAATGATTCATAATCAATTTAGAATAAGAGTCCATCCAATTGTTACTTTAGATGTGCAAATTGGTTTTGTGACCTAACCTTACTTTGTTATAAGTAAGTTTATCTTTGAATCATCTAAATTGCTTTTGTGATCTACTTTTATCAATGTCATAAAACAAAATAACTCATATCTAGCAAAATGAAAACAATTTATTACCTTGATCTTAGATCAACACTTGTCCAAGCCAAGTAAAAACCAAATCAGTATTCAAACTGACACTGAAACTTGTCTCATCAAAGCTGGAAGATGTTTTAAATCATCATAAAAATTCGGAAATTAAAACTATGAAGCTATCTGTGGCCACTCAAACACTTCTAGTGCACCTTTAACCTCCATTTCCATGCTAGCTTCACTTACTTGCAGTTCCTGCGCAACATTCATAATGTTAAGCACTGCAACTTGGTATCACATACCATAGTGAAATTTAAAATGTTTATAACATAATACCTGAGGTTGATGCTCCATTCATCTTGAGGAAGTCAAGGTATTTCTAGCAATTACGTTTTCAATGCCCCTTCTTCTTGCAGTAAAAGCATTCACTTCCAACTTGCTTGCCCTTGCTCTTAGCACTAGCATTTTTCCCTTTTTTCTTGAACCCCTTTCCCTTTTGAATCATAAGAACTTCCTTCTTAGGTTCCTTAGGGATTTTCTTTTCAATACTAACCAGCATTGCGTGCAATTGATTCATAGTCTTTGTAGTCGTAGTCATATTGAAATTCATGATAAACTGGTTAAAACTTTCTGGAAGTGAGTGGAGAATGATGTCAGTTTTCATCTCATCACTGTATGGGTGCCCCAGTTTCTCCATATTTTGAATAAGGCTGATCATTTTGAAAACATGATCATGAACTGTGGCACCCTTCTCCATCCTACAATCTAGAATCTCACGATGGAGCTCGAACCTTTCAACTCTAGCTTGTTTCTTAAACAAAGATTTGAGTTCTTGCATGATTGTGTACACATCCTGATCCTCAAAACGCTTTTGAAGACTAGGTTCAATGGTAGCAATCATCAAGCAAGTGATAGGCACAACTCTATCATGAGCTTCCTTGTGCTTCTTGACTTCTGCCACAGTTGCAGTTTCTGGCAGAGGTCCTGGCAATGGGGTGTCATTGACATCCTCTCTACCTTTAGATTTCAGAACGAGCCTTACCATTCTTTCCAGAGTGGAAAAGTTTTCTCAATTCAACCTATCCTTCTCAAGGAATGGTCGAAGATTGTAAATGTTGTTGTCATTGTGATTAGGCTACCCATCTAAGTCAAAATAAGGCAAAGTTACCATAAACGATTAAATTGGTAACTTTAAAGCACTTTATTAAACGTTAATTGATCCCAATTGAATTTTTAGTGATTCTAAGATCCTTTATTTGTATAATAGTTGACCGAACTGAGGCCCTACCATCCTTACATTTTCAAGGTGAGTAAAATCTTTACTGATTACAACTCTTGTAACTCTTGGTTGAATAATTAACCATCACATGCTTTATTATTACCCTTTGCTTCAAGGTTCTAAACGATTTAGGTAATCTTGTTGAGCATAACCAATTAAATATGTAGAACGTGATCCACCCCACAATACCTAAAATAACAAGTGACCCATCACTCACTATTAAAGGATTGTTGGGTATCTAGCGCATCATCAATCCACATAAACAAAATCTAACATGCATAATCTACTAATGCAATAAAAGAAGACATAGTTTGGCCACTTAGTCCTAAGAAAACTAGAAATGAAAAGCTCCCACTTGAATCATCATGGATCTCCATCCACCTTGCTCCTTTGGTCCTTCACTTCATGGGCTTTTTTGGACTAACACTATTTAAATAACTAAATTATTTACTTTAAATAAAAGTTACAAAAATACTTAACGGTATGCAGACCGTATTTAGATTCTAAAAATACATCACGATGCGCAGAGCGTATTTTAGAATCTATGGGCTACACTAATCTATATATAGCAACATAATATCATATATTATATAAAATGTCATATAATAAATCACTCAACATGCTTGTCTAAACTACAACATCGAATTTTCATAATTAAGGCAACGCATTTCCTAAAATATCTCATATTTTAAATCATAATTAGATAATACCATATATTATTCATGACCAATCATAAAATATCATATATTTAAATTTAAGCATAAGATAGAATCAAATCATATTTTAATCTAGAAAGATAAATCATATTTAATCTTCCACAATTATCCTAACAACTTAGGAGATTCTATCCTAATTACTAGCCAATAAAAAAAATTATAAAATCAATTATATCCTAATCTAATATGGGATAATTACATTATTTAAATCAATTATTATCCTTTTGGAATATGCTCAAAATATCCTAATCAATCTTACCCAAACTTAACCACTTTAATTACAGATAATTACCAATTTAACAACTTTAAATATGGATAATATTAAATGTAACAACTTTTGAATATTTGATTTTATCCTAAAACAAAAGATTTTATCCAAAATAAAACCGATTTTATCCAAAATAATTTTGTAATTATCTTGAAATAATTTTCAAAAACAGATTTTTTTTCTTTAACCGAGGCACCACCACACCGGCCATCGTGGTTGGCTAGCCAAAGCTATCCACGGTGGTTGGCTGCCATAACAGCAGCCACTGCAGCAAGGGCAGCAGCAGCGTAGCAGGTCCTGCTAGGCTGCAGGCCACCGTGAGCGGCCAGCCTTGGCTAGCCACGGTGGCTGGCTGCTTTGCAGCAACCACAACCGCGTTGTGGCAACAGCAGCAGCCCTGGCATGGATGTGACATCAGCTGTGCAACTCTTGCATGTTGTTGTCCAGCCACCTCCCGGACCTCCTGCCCTCCCTCCCTCTGGACTAACCCAGGTCGGCAGCCGCCATGGCTGCGCCACCCAGCCACGGTTGCCGGCCTTAACACATTTTTTTTGGTTTTAAATTTAATTTAAATAACTTTTATAAAAATTAAATCAAATCAGTCCAAAAATTAATATTAAATCAACATTCAATTTTAAAATTAGGGTTCATCATAAAATTAATCCTAATTTAATTCTAACTCTTAAAATTAAATCGATGATCATACAAAAAATATTTTATGCATAAATCAATGCGATTAAAATTATGAAACATAAAACAATTCAAATTAAATCAAAATCAATCACAAAAATCATATTTTAGGGCTATGAATTTCAAAAATTCGAAAATTACGGTTAGGGTTTTTCGAAAATCCGAAACTAGGGTTCTAGGGTTCGCAATTTTCAAATATTGTAGGGCTTAATTAGATCCTCTTCATGGCTATTTGAGCATAATTAAATCACATTTAATCAATTCTAAAAGATTAATCACATTAAATATAACAATTGAACCATAATTAAATTAATTTCTCTCTCTTAATTGATTATAAAATTAACATGGACTTCAAATTAATTGTATTAATATGATCAAGCGCGTTCATGAAATAGGCTAACTGATACCACTGTAAGAGTTTATAGGTACTACGCAGCGGAAAATCATGAATCATATTTTATCAAGCACCTAATCCCAAGATCACATGCATAACTCACAAGACACATAATCATACCTTTGAAGCATGAAATCCACGTAACAATTGATTGACAAATAGAGAATAGAGCCCCAAGCGTTGCACCTCTACTTAGTCCACGAGCTTCGAACGAGCCGTCCACTAACACTAGATTGGTCGAGTGATTGAGGAAAACCGTGATCACCACCTTTTATGGACTAAGCCGACCACGATGATCCACCATCACCATGAACCACCACACTGGCGCCGAGGAGGAGAGAGAGTGTCGTGAGAGAGAGGAGTATGAGAGGGGTTGGTCTCTTGTTTGCTAATTTGGGTTTTGATCTTACTTATTAACTGAATTCAACTTACATGCAAACCCTAGGAACCTAATCTATTTACAATCACATTATAATTAGACTAGGGTTAGGAAGCCCAAAACCCTCCAATCCATTCCATGTGGTCGGCCAAACTAGGGGATGAGGCCCATCATGGGCCTCGTACTCTTGTGCCCGATCTAGACCCTTTGTGTGATCTTATAGGATTCGTCCAATTGGGTTTTGGCCTATTTTAGTAGTCCAATGATCGTTAGTACCTCTATATATGATAAAACAACGACCCAAAAGTCCGAACTTAATTATCTCCATAATTGTGATCCATTTATATATCTAGTAATTGTACACGACGAAGACATAAATCCTTCAGTTATTAGTATTGCTTTCTTTAATTTAATTTGATTTTAAAACAAATTTTTGCAATTTTGATTTCAAAATTAGGGTTTTCCCAATTAATTGTTTGATTGTTTTTAGTCTCGATCAAGTTTAAAATTAGTATTTTGTTATTTTTGTTTGATTACTGTGTGTTTTCTCTTTTATTGATAATCAGAACAATATTTTGTGTTGTTTCGGTATCAATTTTAGGATCTATATTGTTATTATTTGTAATTAATAATTCTTTTTATTTTGGTATTTTTCGAATTCACACTGTACAACTATAGCTGATTTATTTAAATTAAAATAAGTTCTTGCCTTAAAGTATTTAATGGTAGTAAGCTCTATTGTTGTGGCTTAGTTCCATTGTGAATTTAGATGACTTTAAAATTGTAAAATGTATAAACTAATCTTATTAAAGAGCAGTGTTGGCCTTTATGTGCAAATACAGTTTGAGTTTCATTGAACAAAGTGTAGGGTTCTAGTTCCATTAAACTCTTATCTATCTAACAATGAAAACCAAATTAAATGTGGTAAGAATTTTTAGTGGTGTTGACTCAAATAGTGCTACTAAGCAAAGTTGGGGTTTTCAACCCTCACATTCTTGCACCACTTATATATTAAGCTTTGGATGAATGCAGTTGTAAGCTATAGAAAATTTATAGCTCAATAAGATCACATTAGTGCACTGTATGTAATATAAAATAAAGCTTACATCCTTGTGAAACCTAAGAGGTGTAACAATGTTATGTATAGCCAAATCACTAATCTTAATGATAATATAATCAATAGTATTTCCAAATGGATTTCAAGCCCCCAATGAATCAAAATATAATAGGTGGCTATGAAGTATAATATATGCAACTAAATATATGTATCTTGCATGTTGAACTTGCATTTACCTTTATTTCCAATGTAAACTTATTTACAAGTTTGGGAATAGGTTTACAAGCTTCATAATCTATCATAGTAACATGTATGGTGATCATGAAAGCCATTTTGCCTAATATCTAACGTTTATAAAAAATTTTGATTACTTTTGAGAATTTTCTCTTTACTTTTGAGTAATTTTCTTTACTTTGATACACTTTGTTAAATCAAAGTGAGTTTTCCCTCTTAGCACTATCTAGTGAAACGGAATCAGACGAATTTATGATGTTGAGTTGTTGCTACTAATTCTTTGCATATTGAATTTTTTGGTTATTTGTCGTTTGTCTAGAGTACAACCAATATCTTATAACTGATTTTATGGGAAACCAAGCAGTGTTAAGATAAGTGTAAATATTATTTTGTATATTTCAGTTTCCTTGTAATTAGCCTTAAGAATATTTAGTTACATTGTTTATAGCTAAATTAGAGGTTAAGCCTAATCTTGTACACTGTATATATTGCTAAGCAAAGAAATGATAATATTCACGGAATATAATTCTTTCATGGTATCAGTTAGCTAGGGTTTTCTTCTCTCGTTTCCGCTCAACCCTATTTCCGCCCACATCCTACAGTTTTTCCGTCGTCTTCTTCACTTCTCTGGCAATCCTCAAGATGTCGGACAAATCTTCTCTTCATCCCGCTTTCACTGTCAATAATATCAAGAGTAACATTCCCTTTGTTCTACAAATGGAGTTCTCAATACTCGACTTGGGCGGAACTCTTCAAAGTTCACGCACGTTCTCACAAAGTCTTACACCATATCATTGCTCCGGCACGGGGCAAGGAGAAGCCTGCTCCCACCACTGACAAGGAGAAGGAAGCTTGGTTGACTTTGGACGCCATAGTTCTTGGATGGATATACTCTACCATGTCTAATGATCTTTTGACCACTATCATGGAGCCCGATGCTACGGCGATGGAAGCTTGGAGTAGATTGCGTGACATATTTCAAGATAATGAAAATTCTTGCGCCTTTGCTCTAAAACAGGAGTTATTTTCCTAATGCCTCCTCTTACTGTCAACGCCTAAAATCCTTGGCTGATCAGTTGAAGAACGTCGGTGCTTCGGTGTCGGATAGTAGAATGGTCTTGCAATTGGTTGGTGGCCTTACAAAGGCATATGGTGGTGTTGGTACGTTGATCAGGCAGAGCAACCCACTTCCCCCCTTTTATAAAGCACGGTCTATGCTAATTCTTGAGGAGACAAGCATGGCCAAGGAAGCTTCTACGGAATCGGCCATGGTGGCGTCATTCTCGGATTCCCCACAAAATTCTGAAAATACGGGGAATTCTAAAGGCAAACAATCGGGTCGGAAAAATTCTGGTGGTCGGCGCAATAACGGCGGCGGTGCTGGTGGAAGCCGCGGTTTCGGTGGGGGAGGCAATTCCGACAAGGGACAGCAGCAACAGCAGTCGTACGGCTCCAGTGGCCGTGGCCTAACCACAACAACAGCAGTTCTATGCTCCCCCGTATTGGCAGCAGCCATACGGTCCATGGGGGTGGAATAATGGGGCCTGGCCCATTCCACCTTGCCCTTACCCCAATCAAGGTTGGGCCAGGCCACAGCAGCAGCAGCAACGGGCCTCATCTCCTAGCATTCTGGGTCCTAGGCCACCGAATTATCAACAGGCTTATGTGGCTTCACAACTTGGACAGTCCACACCAACAGATATTGAAGCTGCCATGCACACAATGTCACTAGCTCAACCGGACCCGTCTTGGTATATGGATACCGGAGCAACATCTCACATGTCGTTTTCTTCCGGTAATTTCTCGTCTTATTTTAATTTGAGCAATCATCCTAATAATGGATTTATTGTTGGTAATGGTAACACTATTCCTATTGTTGGCTATGGTACCTCCACTTTACCCTCCCCTAACCCTCCCCTTTCCTTAAAAAATGTCCTACATGTACCCAAACTCATCAAAAATCTCATCTTCGTTCGTAAATTTACTAATGATAATTTTGTGAGTGTCGAATTTGATCCGTTTGGGTTTTCTGTGAAGGATTTTCGGACGGGGATGCCAATAATGAGGTGTAATAGTCAAGGAGATCTTTACCCTATCATCACTCTCAACAATCAAGCTACTCAATCCACCTTTGCTGCAATCACTCCTAAGCTTTGGCATGATCGCTTGGGTCATCCGGGGGCTCCTATCTTAGATGCACTTAGGAAAAATAATAGCATTGATTGTACTAGTTGTTCTAATTCTAGTATTTGTGGTTCTTGTGTTCTTGGAAAACATATTAAATTGCCATTTTCTTCATCTTTGTCGAGTACTACTATGCCCTTTGACATTATTCATAGTGATTTGTGGTCTTCTCCTATCTTGAGTTATTTGGGACATAAATATTATATTGTTATTTTGGATGATTTCTCGAATTTTTTGTGGACTTTTCCCATTTCCCGAAAATTGGATGTGTATGATATTTTCATGACTTTCAAAACACATATTCTCACCCAATTTGAACGACATATTAAAATTGTCCAATGTGATAATGGCCGGGAGTTTGATAATAGTTCTTTTTGGGATTTTTGTAAGACTCATGGGATGTCTTTCCGATTATCTTGCCCACATACCTCTTCTCAAAATGGGAAAGCCGAAAGAAAAATTCGAACTATAAATAATGTCACTCGTACTCTACTTGCTCATGCCTCTCTTCCCCCTTCTTTTTGGCATCATGCATTACAAATGGCAACATATCTTCTTAATATTCTTCCAAGTAAGCTTTTGGGGCATAAATCTCCTCTAGAGGTTCTATACAAAAGGGTTCCTTCTTATTCTCATTTACGGGTTTTTGGTTGTTTATGCTATCCTCTTATTCCTTCTACCACTATTAATAAGCTTCAACCAAGATCTACCCCTTGTGTGTTTCTGGGTTTTCCAACTAACCACCATGGCTATAAGTGTTTTGATTTATCGACCAATAAAATCATTATTTGCCGCCATGTTCTTTTTAATGAGAATAATTTCCCTTTTGCAAAATTATATGAACCTACTGCTGACGCTTATAATTTTCTTGGGGTTACATCCTAACATCCTACATCATTTAGCATCACAGCTGGCCCCAAATCCACAGCCCACATCTCCCACGGCCCAACCACATGTGGCGCCCCATATAATCTCCAACTCGGGCCCTTCTCTCACGCCTAGCCCACTCACTAACATGCTCAGCCCCACATCCCCCAATATTGGGCCCTCTACACCATCCAGCCCAATAAACACCCACCCTGATCCTACTCCCTCACCCCAGCAGACCGAAACACATAATGGCCCAATTTCCAACCCCACGCCAATTGTCCAGCCAAGTATGGTTACCAGGAGTAAAAATGGGATTTTTAAACCCAATCCCAAGTATTCCCAACACTCTTTGCATACCATTGTGTCGAGGTCTCCTATTCCTCGTACTCCGATTGAGGCACTTCGTGATCCTAATTGGAAAATGGCCATGGATGATGAATATGATGCTCTTATTAAAAATAAGACGTGGGAGTTGGTGCCCCGTCCGCCTGATGTGAATGTTATTCGGTCTATGTGGATTTTTACTCATAAAGTTAAATCTAATGGTGTGTTTGAGAGGCATAAAGCCCGTCTTGTAGGTGATGGCAAAACTCAGCAGGTTGGCATTGATTGTGGGGAGACATTTAGTCCGGTTGTCAAACCGGCAATCATCCGTACTGTTCTCAGTATTTCTCTTTCTAAGGCATGGTCCATTCATCAGTTGGATGTCAAAAATGCTTTTCTGCATGGTGACCTCCAAGAGACAGTATATATGCATAAACCTTTGGGTTACAGGGATCGCACTCATCCTGGTTATGTCTGTCGTCTGAATAAGGCTTTATATGGTCTTAAGCAGGCTCCCCGCGCTTGGTATAAGCGTTTTGCAGAGTTTGTTTTATCTATTGGTTTTACCAATAGTCGGATAGATAACTCCTTATTTATTTTGCAAAGGGGGTATGAAATGGCTTATATTTTATTATATGTTGATGACATTATTCTTACAGCCTCTTCAGATACTCTCCGGCGTTCCATCATGGATCTTCTTAGTTCGGAATTTTCTATGAAAGATCTAGGTCCTCTAAATTATTTTCTTGGCATTGCTGTTACTAGAAACAAGGGTGGTATGTTCCTTTCACAGCGAAAGTATGCGGAAGAAATAATTGAGCGTGCCAGTATGTCCTCTTGTAAGCCATCTCCCACTCCAGTTGACACAAACTCGAAGGTTAGTGCTACCTCTAGTAGTACTTTTGATGATCCTACTCTGTATAGGAGTCTTGCAGGGGCTCTGCAATATCTTACTTTCACACGGCCGGATATTTCATATGTCGTCCAACAGGTGTGCCTTCATATGCATGATCCGCGGGTGGATCACATGTCCGCTGCGGGTAATTCGGTATGTTAAGGGTACTTTGGACTACGGTCTTCACTTGTATCCTTCATCTTTTTCTACTCTGGTCTCATACACTGATGCAGATTGGGGTGGATGTCCTGATACGAGGCGCTCGACGTCTGGTTATTGTGTATTTTTGGGTGATAACTTGGTTTCTTGGTCATCTAAGCGCCAACCTACATTGTCAAAATCTAGTGCAGAGATCGAGTATCGGGGCGTAGCTAATGTTGTTTCAGAGTCATGTTGGCTTCGAAACCTTCTTCTTGAATTGTATTGTCAGGTTAAAAAGGTTACGCTAGTATATTGCGACAATGTGAGTGCTATTTATTTGTCCGGCAACCCTGTTCAGCATCAACGAACAAAACACATTGAGATGGATATTCATTTTGTTCGTGAGAAGGTTGCCCGTGGTGAAGTCCGTGTTCTTCATGTGCCATCTAGATATCAAATTGCGGACATCTTTACAAAGGGTCTCCCACGAGTACTCTTTCATGATTTTAGGGATAGTCTTAGTGTCCGTCCACCTCCCGCTTTGACTGTGGGGGTGTGTTAAGATAAGTGTAAATATTATTTTGTATATTTCGGTTTCCTTGTAATTAGCCTTAAGAATATTTAGTTACCTTGTTTATAGCTAAATTAGAGGCTAAGCCTAATCTTGTACACTGTATATATTTCTAAGCAAAGCAATGATAATATTCATGGAATATAATTCTTTCAAGCAGACACTAGTCTATATGGAACAAGTTACTTCTGAGTTCCGATCTAGAAACGCAGCAAACCTTGGTCTAGTGTTTGATGCCTCTTATTGTGATAGCAGAGAGACACACACACATGTTACACTGATAGCAAACACACACACATAACAAACAATCCAAAATTCAATATGTATTGCTTGCACTACTATTTTAATCTTAAAACTGATTATTTCAGATAACTTTATTCTTCTTGGCCAACACCGTATAGAAGGAGAAAGTATGTAAACAAAGCCAAATTCTAAGAGTAAAATTTGATAGCAAGTTCAAGAAGTTATTTAATTTTTTATTTACTTTTGATATTTTTTATTAACTTTTGAGTTATTTTCGTTTACTTTGAATGTTTAACCAATACAAGCCTACTAGCTCAATAGGTAGAGCATTGTGTGCAAATGCACAAAAGATGTGGGTTCGAATCCCATGTAGGTTTATCAATTATATGAAATTATTATTTCTATCTAATTTCTATAATTGATTCATTTTCTACAAATAAAAAAAAAACTTTATTTACTTTTTATAGAATTTTATTCACTTTTTATTTGAAAACTATTACTTTATCCTCGTATGCTTCTTTCTTGTTTAATTAGTTTTATATTTTTGTAAAGCACATCATGAATTAGCTCATCTTATAGTGATATAAAAATAAAGACTCAGTTTTTATGCTCATTTGTCACTCTACTACTGATGTGGGCTTATAGGGGGCTAATACTGGCCACAATAGAACTGCGCTGCTGCTGGCCATAACAATGATATGATGTTGGTCATAATATTGCTGCAGACCACAACATTAATGCTAGCTATGCTACCATTTGCTCGTGCATTCGAGAAAGCTACTAAAGCAACAGTTCTTTGATTTGTCACTCCAACCTGTATATGACAAACAATGGGTACCTTGACTTTGGACCAGAGAGAGAGAGCGCGCTAAAGAATCAATCATAGAAGTAAACAAATTTGTTGATAAAGTTATCAGGACGCGCAAGAAGGAGCTTTCATAGCAAGAGGAGAACAAGGTGAGATCTGATTTACTTACTGTATTTATGAGTTAAAGGAGAAAAAGGGTCGGCCATTTTCACCCTATGAATTTTTATTTACTTTTGAAAATAAATAATTTTCTTAAAACTAGCATGTTGAAGGCCTAAACCTTTTTTCTACACCATATGTTTCTAAGATTATTTGAGAAAAAGATAATTGAGTTAAAGCTAAATTGATTTACTTTTTAGCCTTTTTTTTATTACAAATTCTTAAATGGACCTGGTTCACACTAATTTATTGTGGACCACTAATATTAGAAAAAGTATGGTTGTTTTATTAACAAAAAAAAGGGTCACTATAATTTTAAAAAAGGTCACTATATTGAAATAAAAATCATTTTGGTAATATATGTAAGTGGTTATTTTTGTAATGAAATATTTTATATACTGATCAATATGAATAATAAAGGCCACTATGCTAAAATTAGGGTAATAGCGTCGTATTTCAAGTTCACAATATTATTAAACGTTGTAGTAGTTTTAATAAAGGTTACTATGTTAAAAATAAGGTTACTATGTTAAAAATAATGGTCACTATATTCAATATAATGTCAGTTGCGTGTGTATAGACCTCGGGTCCACAATAATATTATTGTGGACCAAGTCCACGCAAGTGTTTTTGTTTTTTTATTTACTTTTAGCTTATTATAATTTATTTGTTATGATTTAGTTTTGATTACTTTTCTAAAGTCACAAATGTTCCAATGTTCCATACTACATAATAAATTTGTTGAACATAGTTTAGCTATTTTGATTTACTTTAAAGATTTGGGAAATTCTCAATGGTTATCATCAGCTTTTTATTTTTCTCAATGATAAACAACCAAAATTCCAATTATCTTTGATAATCATAAATTACTAATATATATTAACTATAACATTAATGTTATATTTTCATAAAAATCTTTAACTAGGGTTAGTTTTATTATTTTAATAATTAAATTATTTTTTAAAAAAAAACCACCACTCATCCCCACTAGCCCAGCTAGGCAGCCACCCCACGCACCATCCCTCTACCCACACACCATTCCTCCACGCGCTCCCTAACCACGCCCTGGCCGCTGGCGCGCCCAAACCCCGCCCCAGTGCGTCAGCGCCGCACTGAACCCCCCTCCCTGACGCGTACCCCATCCCCCGATTCACCTAATTTCTTTCCCAAAACCCCCTTCCTCCCCCACAAATCCCCCTAAAACCATCACCCCAACCTTAAAAAACCCTAAATGGACCTCCCTCACCGTCGCTAGGGTTCCTGTTAGGGTATTTTTGAGGATTGAAGAAGGTTTTTGGAGGGTTTCGTGCGGGTAGGGAGGGCGGATTGGTGGTTAAAGGGGAAGAGGGTGACGCGACGAGGGGAGAGCAGATGAGGTGCCGGCGCTGGGGTTTCTTGGTGCGGTCGGCGACGCGTAGGGCTGGGCATGGGTGGATTGGAGGAAGGAGGTTGGCTGGCTGGGTTGCGGAAAAATGGGTGGTGTTAATTTTTTTTTTCTAAAAAAATATCTTTAAAATAATCTAAATGTTAAAAAATTATAAAAAAGAAAACTAACCCTAGTTAAGGATTTTTTTTAGTGCTATGATTAATATATAATAAAAATTCATGATTACCAAAGATAATTGGAATTTTGGTTGTTTACCATTGAAAAAAACAAAAAACTAATGATTACCATTGAGTATTTCCCTAAAGATTTTCTATATACTAGTGTTTCTAATTTACTTTTAGAGATAACCTATGTAGGAATTGAACCTACACCCCTAAGCATTTGCATAGTGCTCTATCACTTGAACTAATAGATTTTAACACACCTAGTCACAAAATATCCCTCACAATGTTAAATTCAAAAATTGGATATAAATATACTTTTGGAATCGTTTTATTTACTTTTATCTTGAAAACCTTTACGTTAAGCTTCATATACTTCTTTATTATTATTTGCTCAACCTATAAGATATGAAAGTAAATGACAAAGAATTTTTGTGGGGAAATATTGCCCGGAATAATCCCACCTTGCGGCGTCTGCTAAAAATAATCCCATCTTTGGGTTATTTTTAAATAATCCGACCTTTATACCTAATCCGCTTAGAATGGTCCCAACTAGTCATGTAACCTATTATAACAAGTTACTTGACACATGACGGCCTGTGATTGGTCAAAAAAATAAAAATTAAATTATTTTTTTTAAAATAAGTTAAATTTTTATATAGAACAAATAAAAAAAAAATTAATTATTGAAAACCACTAATGGCTAGTGGCTGCCCAAGCAACCCACCTGCAGTCTGACTCCTCAGCCTCGCATCTCTGACCACCCAGATCCCAGCGCCGCAACGACGCCGACCCCCACCACTTCCGCAACCTCCCACCACTTCCCCATCCCCTTCCCGATCTCCCATCGTTACCATACCCAATCCCGACCTCATAGGCTCCCACTAGTCCCCGCCCAAATCCCCTCCCCTTCCCCTGTTCCTTTTCCGTCCTCATCCCCTTCCCCTACCGACTCCCCAATTTTGGCCCCCATCCCTTCCCACGCCTGAATTTCGACCCCCTCCCTTTCCATAACCTTGATTTCGGTAATAGTTGTTTGGTTGTGGTGGTTTAGTGGCGACGAAAGGGGAAAGGGGAAGGTCGGAGGACGGAGGACGGCGCGGCGGGGCTGGCGGCTCTGGGCAGGCCTATTAGTAGGGGCGGTCGAGGAGAGGTGACTGGGATCGTGGTGGTCGGTGAGGAGGTTTTTTTTTTTGTGAGAAACAAGTTCAATAAATAATTAACTAATGTTAATTACTAATAATCATTTCTTAAAACAAAATTTAAATTAATAATACTTATTTTTTACCAATAACGTGGTGACACGTGTGTAAATTAAAATTAATTTAAAAAAGTTACCTACTCTACCGATTACAAGTCCATGGGATCATTTAAAGTGGATTGCGTATAAAGGTCGGATTATTTAAAAACAACCCAAAGGTGGATTTATTTTGGGCGGATGCCTCAAAGGTTGGATTATTCTAGACAATTTTTCCTTTTTATGGTGTAACAAATTTTTATCATCAAACTAATAATTTGTTGTAGACATCTACTTTTGGCCTCCTATCCCGACAGGAAGTGCAATGACGATAAATAAAACCATCTTCGTGTTGGATTGAAGTGGAGAATGCTTAGGATAACTGGTTAAGCCACAAAACACAAAAAACTAGCCCAAACTAAAGAACAAAGCTAAACAAGGTCCAATTAACTAAATCCAATCAATATTAGGCTTAAGCCCGTGCTTAAAACCCAATATTGACGGATTTAGGAGCGCCTAGGTTAAATTTTAATGCTGCCGCAGGAAATTCCGCGCGCATCTCAATCAGTTGCGCTGGACAGGCGCGCGCAACTAATTCAGTTGCGTGCGACACTCGGCGCAACCTCTAGAGATGCGCTCGCGAAAGATTCCGAATTTTACGAAAATATAGAATCGAATATTACCATAATGCCACGCGCAAGACACTCAGTTGCGCTGCCCATAGAAGCGTAACCCAATCACTTGTGCTGGGATGTCGCGCCCAACTAATCCTATTGCGTGCGACACCTGCTGCGGAAGAATGTTCAAACCCTAATGCTACTCATTCCCTAAAAATAGAGGCTTAATCCGAGGCTTAAACACACAAAAAAAACCTAAAACTCTGGCGGAATACTTGTGAACTTGTGCTACCTAACCCCTCTTGTCCTAAACACTCACCCCTTGATATTTTGTTACTACGGTGGAGGTTCCCCAACAAGAAGGTGTCCATAAGTGTTCTAAACGGAGATCTAGCAAAGAGAAGTGGTAAATTCCCAAGAACTTAGATAAATCATATTTATTTTCTTGTTTAAAAGAACTTTAGCTAATTAATTAGTGTTGCTTGATCATCTTAAAAGGACTAATTAATTAATTCCACATAGTATCTTGTGTTAAATAAAGATTAGAATTGGATAATCAATTGTTGGTTGATCACTTAAGCCAAGGCAAATATTGTTTATTTTCTTGTTCTTTTTACGAAATTGATTAAATAAAGAATAACGACGTTGCAATGTAATTCCCACGTGAATTAATGCGAGTAAATAAAATCAACTAACTTAGTTTTAGGTATCGCGTTGCACATATTGTTTGGTGATGAAATTGTAAAAAAAGAAGAGCTAGTAGAGGTCGTACTAGGGCTAGAATAGCGATTCCTCCTTAAAAGGAACGTTATTTTAGTACCCTCGCTCCCGAACTCATTTCTGGTTTATGTAGACCAATTTGGGCATGAGTAAACTTACAATTCGTGTTAATTATTCCATGAACTCCACATGGAAGAAAGGCATGAACGAGGTTTAGGGAAAACTCATTGGCGACTCTTACTTGTTTCTTATAAAAAAGCGTAATGATAAAATCAATTCTAATTCAAGGTCCCCCAAACAGTCAGGAATTCAAATCCTACTACATCTTAACAAGTGTAAAATCCTAGGCTTTTAAATGGCCACGGGCATCTAAGGAAGGACCCCCTTACGATGGAATCACTCTCCTTACAATTGTATGCCATATCTTTACGGCTGATTGCATATGAAAAAGTCAAAAGAGAAGTACATGAATTGAATTTATAGAGATTATATGATAATGCAAGTTTACAGTCAGAATTTTAGTAATTAGCATATAACAATGTGCAGTATGTTTAGTGTAGATTCTGTTGAAAATTACTGCAACATACTTGGAAATGGCTGCAGTTCCTGCTGGATTAGATTAAAGGGAAAAGGATAAATTTGTTCAACTCTGTATATTTCTATATCCATACAATTATGTTTTCTCCTCTCATCATCAAGCTCATAAATACACTTGAATATTACACAAAACAGAAAGATGTAGTGATATACGCCTCAGTAGAAGCAAATTCTATTCAAGGCAATAACACCTCAAGGTTTTTAAATGTTCTGAAATCTCAACATGTCACAAATATGTTACATGAGCACAGGTATGATGATTCTAGTACGAGTACATATCCAATCATCAACACACTAATTAAAGCATTATAGAGGGCCACCTCATATATGTATAGCTGGAAAGCTCAAATTCATTACTACAACACAATTTCACAAATACATACAAAAAGATTAATGCTAGTCACCTGCCACCTAGGTGTTCAATAAAAAGTTTGTTCATATGAGTTGTAGTCTTGAGTTAATGTTTCATCTAGTTTTATTATGTTCCAGACTAATGTAAACTTGAACAAATATTAAGCAACAATAATAGCAACCGCACCAAGTTGAGAAGAGATACTTCCACTTAATGAATTCACAACCTCTTTATAGGCCTTGACAAACTGAGCCGCACTTGAATCATGCAAAATGGTCAAAGCTAGAAACATAAGCCATAAAAAAAAATATATATATATAACAAAAAAAAGCCAACTCCACTACATTCACGGAGCAGACAATCATTATCACCAATACATACGTAAAGCAATCAACCCGAAACATAAATTAACATGAACCCAATTTATTAAGCTCATGAAACTGATTCATATATAAACCAAGCCATAAAACAGATTCATATATATAAACCAAGCCATAAAAGTACAAAATTGATTCATATACATAAACTTGTTATAAACCAATTTGTTAGCTCATGAATCACTTAATTGACGAATATTTACTACTATATTTTTTAGCTCATGAAACTGATGAATAATTACTAGCATATAAAACCACGTTTCAAAGCTAGTATATATATTTTCAGTTTTATGAGCTAACCGTACAATATATAGTTTCAAAGCTACATCCCGTGAACTCTAGTTAGCTATTGCTAACCTACCAGCAAAAAAATTATCTACTTTAAAAAAACGATTCAGTTTACTTTTAAGGATATTTAGTTTACTTTAAGAGAAATTTAGGTTACTTATCCATGGCTAATTTAATTTATTCATCAAATAAATGCAAGTTTAAGATTTAATCCATTCTCTACAAAGATATTTACACAGGCAAGTTGCATTCAGATTAATGATCCTTAACCATACACTATTTAATTATCTACTTTGGGAGTAGTTTGTTCTACTTTTAAAGATATCTAATTTACTTTTAAGTGAAATTATATTCAAGGCCACTTCTAGGATAAAAAGTCACCCTACACCTTATCAATCACCTACTAATCCTACACACCGAACCTAACACTAACCTACACCACATCACAACAACAACAGAGAGTAGTCCACAAGCAGCTATCTTCCTCCACCCTAGCCTCCTTTAATTGTTTCCTATGTGCTATCACATAGGGCACAACTGGCTCTTCTCCTGTGAAATGTGGCACTACAATAACCTCTCATGAACTGCTTACCTTTCATTACAGCCAACTGCACAAAATTGTTTCAATTGTAGGGGACCTACAATTCCCCACGGCAGCTTTCACATCTACAATCCCTATGATTTTAATTGCCATGTATTATAAATCGTAGTTTAGTTTTTTTTTATTATTTACTTTAAAATATAATTGGTATACTTTTACTTGGTTTCTATCTACATTTGAATTCTATGATATATTTGGATTCATTAGGGCATTTTGTCGAACAAATAGGAAAAAAAACTATCCACATTTCTGTGATTGCTCATATACTATAGGCTAGTTTTTTATTCACTTTAAAATGTAATTGGTCTGCTTTAACTTGGTTTCTATCAACTTTTAAAAATTGATAAAAATAAAATAGGAAATATTAATAGTTTAATATTTAGACAGTATGTAACAAGTAATTTAAGCTATAGGTTTAGCTTCAGTATAGAATAACTAAGAAGTGTTTAAAATCGAGGCTACAAAAAGTTAAAAAAAGTAAGCTAAAAACATCCAAAAATTAATATAAATTCAATCGATATAAATTTATAACAAGAGTTCACTTAATTCACATAAACTTGTTCGAAAACTCACCAATTTCACATTAATTTGGATGCCAGCGTAATCATATCTAGTTGATTAGGTAAAATCTAGCAACAAAATCAATCTCTAAAATCATTCTCTAATTGAAGAACTAATAATACTAAATGTAAATTTGATATCAAAATTGAACGCATGAAGTAATCCAAATAGTTCGATTTAAGAATTAACGATAAACCCTAAATAATGAAATCGAAATTCAATTATTACAAAACAGACATAAATAAATCTTCTTACCTCAGAAGTTGCTTCAATGGAGTAGAAATAGCTCGAAACCCGCGTCCATGGAGTACGGAAAGCTTAGAAGCCGCATCAATGGAGAATTATTCAGTGCACTTGCTTCAATGGAGGAGAGAGATTACCCGTGGAGAGAATTTGGAGAGAGAAAGTTGTGTGATGAATTTGGGACATTAGATCACGTGCCTTTTGTGTTAGGTCTAACAATCTAGATTAGTTTCTAGTTATATATACATATATATATATATTCCAACTGCTTAATTATTGGACCCAGATTATGGACCAAATTAAACTGGTCTAAACGTTTTTATAAAAAGACGCGAAATGAATGATTTTAAGGGACACGAAATGAATTATTTTGGGTTTAAACGCACGAAAAAAGGAAAATAAGTTATGGTTTGGGGAAATGGGCTAGGAATTGGGTTGTTTATGAAATGTATTGGGAATTAATATGGATTTAAGCACTCCAAGATTAAATACTTAACCCGACCAATAATGGCGGTGAAAGGTTGTTTATTCTCGGGTTTGGTTTTGGGAGACATTTTTAGGTGTCTACAGTAAGCAAATATGTATTGTTAATATCTTGTGAATATAAGGCAAATCTATAGTTGAAAAAGTTGTCCATAGTTAAAAGAGGCGAGGACAATGCAATAAAGTGAAAAATAGAAGAAAAAAATGATAAAATGAAAAGAAAAAAAAAAAAGCAAAAGCAAATGCTTTGGCAAAAGTAAATTAAAAAAAAAAGTGAAAAGGGTAAAAGCTCAAAAATATTTTGATGTAAGTGTCTTTCTCCCTATTTTAAGCATTAAGGACAATGCTTTGTTCAAGCTTAGGGAGAAGCTTTTTTTACGCTTTTTGTATATACGTTTGTGATTTTTGCTTTGAATAAGCTTGGGGGTGTTGGTGTTTTAGTTTGGTGATAACTTGATTATGGTGTCGAGGATTGATTTCCCTTTGCTTCACAAATTAGGTATACCACCAAATTTCAAATTCTAGCCTACCTTTACAATCTTTGCCCATACATTACAACCTTGAAAATCCCTTTTGACCTTTGTGGTTGAGTCACAACTCAATGGAGGGAGACATGGGTCAAGCCTATGAAGCGATTTGCATAGTTAAGATGTCGAGTAGCCTTAAAATCTCTTCTTTTCCAATTCTTTCGAGGAACCGTTTAGATGCTCACTAGAGGTGGATTTGAAACTACTAGGGAGAACGTGGTAAGATATTTCGGGATGAAGGTGAATTGTGTCTTATAAGTTCTCTATGCTTAGCATATTTTATGTTTCAATCAACCTTGAAAATCTTGAAACGTGCACTCCCTTACTTGTTTGGATAGAATTACATCCATTTGTGCTAGTTCATTTGGAAAAGTCGTTACAAGAACAAATGTTTTCTTTACTTCTCTTTTGGTTTCTTTTTCATATGCTTTGTCTTGTTTGTTTGGTTTGAGAGAATTGTGGGTTAACCTCTTAGGAAACCCTCACGACACCTCAATCGTCCTCATTAGCGGCATTGGGGTTTTAAGGGCTTGTTGTAGCTAAAAACAACCGTGATTCTTACGAAAGTGAGTTAGTGTATATTCCCATCCTCTCTAGTTTTCTTTTTTCTTTCTTTGCTTGAATAATGCCATCATTTTCCTTTGCTTGCTTTTGTTTTACTCGACGACGAACAAAAGTTTAGCTTGGGAGAATTTGATGAGTGTCATTTATGGCACTCATATGGTAAAAATTCTACAATGTCATTCTTTAAAAATGACACCACAATTTGCAGATGTGGAAAAATATAATTGGCCTATATTTTGTATTTTTATTTTCATTTTGAATCATTTTTAATGTCCACAATGTATTAAAATTGTATTATTTTTTGTATTATTTTCAATACATGTATTTTTTAATACATAATTATAAATTATAAAAATGTATTTTTATGATATAAATTAATTTTCAAATTTATAATTATAATTATAAATCATCGTGATAAAATTGTTCATCATCATTATTGTTCGATCATCATCCTTCATCATTCATCATTGTTCTATCATCATCGTTCGATTGGTTCATCATTGTTCGATCTTTGTTGGTCTGCGTTCATCATCATGGTTCATTAGTGTTCGATCGTCATCGTTCATCATTGTTCATCAATCATGTCATAGATTAGCCCCTATTCCCAAATTCAATGTTAGTTGTTGATAAATTCGCAAATCCCAGCTATAATCGTGATAAAAATTTGAAAATAAATTGTGTGTTTGCATTTGCTTTTTACAACTTCTGATTTTAAGTTTTCGTTTGTAAAAATATCTCAATAACAATCTCATTTATAAGTATTTGCAAATGACAAATTCCGCTTTAAATGGTTTGAAAATATGGTTTATGTGGACTCAAATTGTGCAATTTTGTCAAAGAACAAAGAGTATCAAGTTCGTAGAAGATGAAGTGGGTCGAATTTTTTTCGCCAACCGCAACTTCTGTTTAATCTTACAAATGTAATCTCGAATTTGTTTGTGGGTTAGGTAATGACTTAAACTATCTTTGGTCATTACATAAGATTTGATAAAGAACAATACTCTGTACATAGCTAATAAAAAAAAAAAAAAGGTGAATAAAAGCTAATTAGTAATATCCCAATATTATAGCCACTAATTTATATGCCCATGATTTCAAAAAAAAAAAATTCCTAAAATATAATAAGATAATTATCCCATAAATATTTTATACTTGATAAAAATTTCAAAAATATTTTTTCCAAAATATAATAAGATAATGATCCCAAAAACATTTTTTGCTAAAATTATATGATAAAAATTTAATAATTTTTTGTTTATACGATTAGCGTACAAGTAGATTCCAACTACAAAATTAAAACTAATTTTTTTAAGGTAATGACCGAACTACATACAGGTGATTACCTAACCATAAACAGATTACAAAAATCGCAAAACAAGATTTCGGATCAAAGAGCAAACCCTCATCATCCATTCATCGTTTAAAAAAAATGAAAGATCTGCATTTTATATCATCATAATATAAGTTCCTAATGCTTTTTTCATTCTCAAAATTAAAACATCAAATAATGTGATTTTTACATTAATCAAAATTATCAATCGAACCCTAAAACAAAATTTGTAAACGAATATGATGGGATTTTTGACGGAAATTTTGTTGGAATTTTGGTCGAAATTTTGGTCTGCGTTGCGAATAGATTATACAAGATTATGAGAGTGGTTAATTATTATCATGAATGAAAACCAATGATGAACAATGATGAATTTTTTTTTCTTAAATTTTAATTATAATTTAATTTTCGAAAATGATTTTAATAAGAAAAATATAGATTTTAAAAAGCTATAATTACGTATTCTTTAAAAAAATACATGTATTTACAATTATACATACATGTATAGTATATTTAGGCTTTTAAAAATAAATAATAAAAATAGACGAATCATAACATGACACATCATCATGTTATGGTATCATTTTTTGAAGAATGACACAGTAGAAACATCCCTCATATGGTATCATTTTAGGATGTTTTCCTTTTATTTTATAGCTTTTCTCTTTAAATAATGCTTTAGTTTCATTCATTTATGCTTTAGTTGCTTCGTTTCTCTTATTTTGTGCTTTCTTGTGAAATAAGGGTATTTTTGTCTTTTCTACTTTACTCGCTTTACTTTCTTTTATTGTAGGCTTTGTTCGGGTCTCGGGATCTACTTTGGAAGATTCTCCAAGTCTTTTGGATGCTCGGGACAAGACCTCATATCATTCGGTTGGATAAAGTTCAAGATAAGAAGCAAGCTCCTATTCTTGGCATTAGCGCTCTAGTGCATCACCATCATTGCATGTCTTGATCATGAACACGCAAAAATGAAAATTTGAAGGCTACCCCCTTTTTGAGCATCATACGAGAGCGTCAATGAGAAGCATGTTTGTTAGCGCTAGAACTAAAGCAAGAGGCCGAGTTTACGGCCATCACTATGGTGCGTGAGTGCAGGAAGGGGCATGAGTGGCACACCATGTGGTGCCCGCACACACCCTCCGGTGCGTGCGCACCATAGGTAGGCCGAGCCTACTTTTCTCCCTTACTATATATACTTGAGACCTTTCTGTTTTTGAACAACTTTAGACTAGCTTAGAATTTCTCTCCCATATTTTAGCTTAGGTTGAGAGCTTCTCTCTCTAGTTTTAGGGTCAGTTTTAGGAGTAGATTTAAAGAGACAAAGTGAGATTTAATTGGAAATTTGAGATATTGAAGATTCAAGATGATAATTAACTCTATATCATTTTATTTCTTTGTTTAATTTCATGTTTGTTTGATTTGATTTTGATGTTTGATCTTCATTAGTGTTATTGTTCTTCATATTTTGTTGATTCTTGATTTCTTTGTTGTTTGTTGATTAGATGATGATCTTGAGTAGTTGTTTTGCTAGGGATTGGGTGAAACTTGTATGATTGATTGATTGTGATTAATTTGGGAATTGTGTTGATTAATTGTTGAGATTAAAGTTCTTAATGAAAGTTTGCATGTGTATAATTTGATTAGGCCTTGAAAATTATGCTAGATTGCATTGTGATTACTAATTACACGACCCATTGATTTAGGAAATGCAATTATTGATTGGTTTGGATAGTGATTCTCCTAGTTGTTATTCATAGAGACAACTAGCTTAACAATTAGGAGATAACTCTTTGATTCCAATTGATAGCTCTTATTATTAGTCTTCACAACCATTAATTGGCATGTTTTTCCCTAGTTGTTGCAATTTTCATGATTACATGTTGATCCTCATTCCCTATTGTTTCATTTTTTTGTCTATTTGTTTTGGTAGTTGAATAGTGTTACCTTCTTTACCCTTGACTTTGACCTAGCTTAGGCGCCCAATTAAAAGCACTTGGACATAATCGTTCCTTTGGGTAGGTTCGAACCTTTACTTACCTTTATACTTGCATCTAGGTTTGTTAAGTGATTATAAATTTGTTTGGCTTTAGGGAAGATTAGATAAGGACCTACTTTTCCCTACGTCAAGAAGGAGAATATCAAGCATGATGGGATTGATCGAAGAGGGTTATATGTTTCATTGCTTTGTTTATTTCTTATTGTATCAGATTATTTATTTTATTGTTGACACTAACATATAATCATAGTTTTAATATTTTAATTTGGCTTTAAAGGGCCTTTAATGGTTCCAATATATTGGTTTAATGTAACTTGGTTTTGAAGTTTGAGTTGGTTTTATTAAACTTTATATCAAAGTTTGAGTTTTTGAAAGTTAAGTCTTCTGTTGTGTGACTTTGAAAAGCCTTAGCCGTTAACACGGTGGCGATAATACTTTGAGTATTTCCTAAATTGAATTTTATTAAGGGCAGAAATGGTAGTTTAAGGAGGAAATTTCCAATGTACTACAGTAAGTATTAGGGAGATAAATAAGAATAGAAGCGTATGTGTGTTGGTGCCTTGAACTCATATATGAGCCTCGTATTTATAGGAAAAATGAAGAATGAAATCTAGAAACCTAAAAGTGTAGTTCTGTTGAAAAGGAAGTGTACTACAATACTACATACGACTATTGTACCGTGGCGCGTTATTAAATTTTTATCCCGTTGAAACGAAGAAAGCATGTTATTGAATTTTATCCCGGTTGAAAAAGAGAAAAACGCGTTTTTTTTTAAATTTATCTTGGAATTTAAGTACTGTGTCACGGTACCTAGGGCTGAGCAAAAAAAACCCCGAAAACCCGAAAAATCGAACCTTAACCGAACCGAAAAATTGGGTACCCGAACCGTTTAAAGGATTCGGGTCGGGTAGCGGGTACCCGTCAACACAGTTTCGGGTACCCGAATTACCTGAAAATCTAAAATGTCAGTTTTAAAAAAAAAAATTGAAACAGAAGGTTTTGAAAGGCTGAAAACCGTGTTTTGTATTTAAAAAAAAAAAAAAAGACAAACAAAAGAAACGAACCCTAATTTTACTCACTCACTCACTCAGCCTCCATCAGACCATCACCCTCTCTCTCCTCCTCCTCCTCCTCCTCCTCCTCTCTCTCCTCCTCCTCCTTTAATATCTGGTTCTCTGATCAATATGAGTATATTCTTTATCAGCAGTTATCCAGTTATCTCAAGTAATTATCTCTTTTCCAGATCTAATTATTTGCAATGAATTCAATTTTTCCTCTAATTAGTGAAACTCTTGTTCTCTCAGACTCTCAGTATTCTCACAAGTCACAACTCACAACTCAGAACCATGGTGTACTGGTGTTCCTCGTTTACAGCTTTACGCTTAGTCACTTGTGAGGTCTCCATTGAAGCAGCTTGTGAGCTTTCTCTTCCATTGAAGCGTGCTCTGAGACTTAGGTCTCCATTGTAGCGGCTTGTGAGCTTTCTCTGCTCCATTGAGATTTGAGGCAACTTCATTATAAGGTAAGATGTTTTTCTTAAAATCATCGAACATCAATTTCACATTCTAGGGTTTATTGTCAATTAAATTCAGTGTATTCAATTCTAGGGTTTATTGTCAATTAAATTGGTAATGTGTGATTTTCAATAGCAATAAGGGTTCCCTATGTTATTTATTTAATTTTTATTTACCTAAGGCATCATGGTGCAGAATCTGCAGATGAGGAACCCCCATTTTATGTTTTTATTTATAGTCAGACCTCTTCTCAAAATATATATGTAATGTTGGCATATTTTAGCTCGTATGGTAATGTTCACTGCTTCTCTCCATCATGTTATTGCTCAACTCTCATTTTTCCATGTTGACTTCATATATTACTCTTGACCAATGCATGATCTGATGGAACTAGTAGTTGTCTGAAGCAAATACTTAGTAAGTTAGTATTAGATTTTCAGTATGTCATTTAATTGGAACTTTGGTAGCTTTCACTTAGTGGCTTATTGATCATTGTTTTGTGTTTGGTTACTAACTATATTTTTTAAGTCTTTTAAAATGAATTCTTTTTTTAGGCTTATTACTTTATATGATTTTCCAGTCTTGTTATTTGTATATACATGAGTGAACTTATTGGTTAGACTGAATTTAAAAGACTTTTGGTTAGACTGAATTTTTGTTTAGGCTCATTACATTACTAACTAGATTTTCCAGTCCTGTTATTCACTTATTTGTGTATACAACTATACATGATTACATGGGTGAACTTATTTGTTTTTTTTTTTCATTTGTAGGAGTGTATGGAATTTGGAAGTAGTGGGGAGATGGAAGACTCATCGGCTACAAGTCAAGCTCCTCCAATTCCTAGTCCTCCTCCTGAGCCTTGGGAGTATGAGCCAATGACGGAAAATAATGACCCCTTTGTGCAACAAAATCAATCAAACCAACCTTTTGAAGATGCTGATGTTGCTGCCCCCTCCGGTGAAACTTCAAAAAAAAAAAGTAGAAAAAGGCGGTCTCCTCATTGGGAGCATTTTATAAAGAAGGATGGAGAAAACAAGGCTGAATGTATCTATTGTCATGAATTAATTGGTTGTGCATCACTTCATGGTACCTCCGGCATGAAGAACCACATATCGCGATGTAAGGCATACCCCCAAACATTGATCAAAATCAGAAACTACTGTCCCTTAGTCAGCAAACTCTTGATGGGAATCTTGTGGATCAAAAGAAAGGTAGACTTGAGTTATGGAAATTCAATCAAGAAGATAGTAGGAAAGCTCTGGAAAAGATGGTGATTATGGATGAAATGTCCTTTAGAACGGTGGAGCATGAAGGTTTTCGCAACTTTATGAAGGTAACACAACCCTTTTTCATTATTCCTTCTCGGTGGACAGTGACTAGAGATTGTTTTAGGATTTATTTGGATGAGCAAAAAAGTTTGAAGAGTTCTTTTAGCAAGTGCACTTCACGTATAAGTCTGACCACTGACACTTGGACTTCTTGCCAGAATATGAATTACATGTGTTTAACCGCTCACTTTATTGACCAAAATTGGAAATTGCACAAGAAAATAATAAACTTTTGTATAATTTCTGGTCATTCTGGTGAAACTATTGGTAAATCTGTCCAAAAGTGCCTACTTGAATGGGGTATTTCTAGAGTTATGACTGTCACGGTAGATAATGCTAGTTCAAATGATATGGGCATTCAATATTTGAAAAGGAGGTTTGGAAGACTTTAGTTTTGGGTGGTCGGTTTTTACACATGAGATGTTGTGCTCACATATTAAGTTTAACGGTTAAAGAAGGATTGAAAGAAAGCGAAGTGTCTATAAAAAGAATTCGTTGTGCTGTTAGATATGTAAGATCATCGGGTGCTAGATTGCAAAAGTTTATGAGTTGTGTTAAATAAGAAAAGTTGGAGTCAAAATGTTTTCTTTGTTTAGATGTGGATACTAGGTGAAATTCTACTTATTTAATGTTGGAAGGTTCTTTGGCATATCGTAGGGATTTTGATTTGCTTGAATGTTCTGATGGTGGTAAATTTAAGTCTGAGTTAAATAAGTCAGATGGTGTGCCTTAATCTAGTGATTGGGATCGTGTTGCCTCTTTTCTTCCTTTCCTTAAAATATTTTATGATGCTACTCTAAGAGTTTGTGGCTCGTTGTATATCACCTCTAATGTGTATTTACAAGAACTTGTTGGGATTAGTGTGTTAATCAAGAAAAAAATGTTGAGTAATGATGTGGGGGTGAGTTTAATGGCTAGTGGAATGAAGAAAAAGCATGACAAGTATTGGGAGAATGTTGATAATGTGAATCTTTTGTTTTATATTGCTGTCATTCTTGATCCTAGGTGAAAAATGGGATATACTAAATGGGCAATTAATCAACAATATGATTCTAAAAAAGCTAAGTATTTGTGTGCTAAAGTGATGCAAACTCTGAATGAAATGTATGAGCTTTATGTTTCTGAGAACCCTTTAAATGATTCCATTCCCCCCAAAACTTCTGATTTTCTGGAGGAAGTAGAAGATATGGACTCTGATGTAGATGTTGCGGAATTAGAGTTTGAAAAGGATGTGGGTTCAAGTGTTGGAGTGCAAGGGAAAAATGAGTTAGAAGATGATAGAGAAGTTAATCATGCTGGAAAAAGCTTTGATTGTTTGGGGTGGTGGAAAAAATATGGTGAAAGGTACCCAACAATAGCTCTCATGGCTAGAGATGTACTTGCTATTCCCGTTTCAACAGTCGCTTCCGAATCAGCCTTTAGCACCGGTGGTCGAGTGCTTGATTCATTTCGCAGCTCACTTTCAACAAAGATGGTAGAAGCCTTGATTTGTGCACAAGATTGGCTACGTACATCTCAAGGTCCACTTATACTTGAGGAGAGACTTGAAGACATGGAAAAAATTGAATCAGGTAACATTTAAATATTTTCTCTCTCTCTCTCTCTCTCTTTTTTTTTTCCTTTAAGTCTGATATCTTCCTATTCCTTACTCTTTTTTTTTTTGAAGAAATGTTACCACTTGGTGAGGAACAATCCCTCTTTGTTGATGATGATTAGAGGAAGAAGCTGTTAGAGGCAGGAGCTTTTATAAGCATGAAGGAACAATCCCTCTTTGTTCGTGATTGGACTAACTGAAGGCAACATTTTTTTTAATCATAGACATTATTTAAGGTTATGTAATGAGTTGAAAGTAAAGAAACTATATGTTTGGAGTTTGGAGTTTGGACTTTTTTAGTTTTTTTTTATAAGAAACTGTATGTTTGTAATTTTGTATGAGACTATTTGGTTGTTATTTTTTTAATTCATGGACTATTTTTTTTTTCAAATGGTTATTTTTTGAAATTATGGATTTTTAATGTACTTTTCAGGTATTCAGGTTGAATTTTTATAGTAATAACTAATAAGTAAAATAAAAAATAGAAAAAATGCAGGTGTTAAATACATAAAAAGACCCAAACAAAAAAAAGTCAGCTTATTGGTTCGGTTCGGATATTTGGTTCGGGTACCCGTATTTTCGGGTATCTGAATTTTCGGGTACCCGAACCTTATTGGATCGGTTTCGGGAATTGGTTTTAGCCTTAACGGTTATTGGGTACCCGAACCGATAACGTTATTGGAACGGGTACCTGTCCCATGCTCTCCCCTAACGGTACCACCATTGCACGGTACTTCGTACTGCGGTGTGACATTTTTGGCAGTTTTTAAAACTTCCATAATTTTTGATCCATAACTTGAAATAAGGCATATAATATATCGTAGGAAAGATAGATCTTTAAATCTACTTGCGAATCAAATTGGATTTAGATTAAAATACGTAACCTGACCAATAACATTGGAAATCTTATATCAAGGCCTATCCAACCAAATAATATTTGGGTTTATATCAAGGCTTATCCAACTTAATAATATTTGGTTATTTCCTAAATTGAATTTTATTAAGGGCAAAAATTGTATTGTAAGGAGGAAATTTCCAAGGTATTACAGTAAGTATTAGGGAGAGAAATAAGAATAGAAGAGTACGTGTGTTGGTGCCTAGAACTCATATATGAGCCTCGTATTGATAAGCAAAAATGAAGAATGAAGTCTTTTCCTAAAAATGTAGTGCTGTTGAAAGGAAGTGTACCGCAATACTACATACAACTATTGTACCGTGGCGTGTTATTAAATTTGTATCCCGTTGAAAAGAAGAAAGCGCGTTATTAAATTTTATCCCGTTAAAAAAGTGAAAAACGCGTTTTTTAAAAATGGATCCAATAATTTAAATACTGTGTCACGGTACTACCGTTGCACGGTACTTTGTAATGCGGCGCGACATTTTTGGCAGTTTTTAAAACTTCCATAACTTTTGCATAACATGAAATAAGACATATAATATATCGTAGGAAAGATAGACCTTTAAGTCTACTTTCCAATCAAATTGGATTTGAATTAAAATACGTAACCTGACCAATAACGTTGGAAAGCTTATATCAATGCTTATCCAACCAAATAATATTTGGGTCAAAGTTATGGGGTGTAGACACCCAAATGTGTCTCCCCAAAACAAAACCCAGTGATGAATATCTTTCGCGTCGAATCATAATCGAACAAAGTGAAGGTGTGAAAAGCCTAATGTTGCGGTTAGTTTTTACAAAAAAAACCTTTCACTTCTGTTTTCGAAAACCTACTCTATTTTATGAAAATAGCCAATCCTATTTAGTTTGGTCCATGATTAGTGTCCAATAAAAGTGTATTTGGATAGGACTTTAAAAGACCTTTTCAACGATATATTATAAGCCCAATTCCGATGAATAATGAGGAAGTTATGGCCAAAATACTAAACTGGGCTCGGTTTGGTTTTTATATACGGCCCAATGATCTAGAGAAGGGCCTATTATTAATTATCATTCCTAAACCTATTAGGATTTATTATAGTCTTCTAGAATACTCTAAAAGGTTCTTTTGAATCCTAATGGAGTTAGGATTGATAATTATGTTTCAAAAAGTTTGAAATTGAAAAAAACTACTCCTTTTAAGAATCCTTGTTTTGTACGAGATGAAATATGTTCAGATATTAGTTTTCATATTTATCCAAATTTTATACTGTTGAACATATTTTGAAATTACCTTTCCAATGATATATTATAATGTTAATTTCGAGCTATAACGAAAAATATATGAATGAGATACGAAACTCTATCCAAAACTGACACTCTTCCACTATTTCGGTCATATATTTTTTATCTACAAAAGATTTTAATCTAATTCTAATTGGGTTGGAAAGTAGATTCAAGAGCTTTCCAACGACATATTATATGCCTTATTTGGACTTTTGGATCAAAAGATATGATAAAAACAAAATCCGCAAAAACTGACCTGCAGCGCCGGACGACAAGTTTGTCGTGCGGCGTCAGAGGTATTTGCGGCGACAACATCGTGTTTTATTCATTTTCTAACTCTGATTCTTTTTTATCAAATCCGAACTGTTTTCATTATAAATAGGGTCCTTAGACCTCCGTTTTCAATCATCAATTCTCACCAATTCTCATTAAGAATTTCTTGATTCTCTCCCTCTCTCTTTCTAGCCTATCCTTTTACAAACACAATTCCTCATACATTAGCACTAGACACACATAGCCAAGTTCGAAGTTGTCTTCGCCTTAGATGTGAAAGGTTTGGTATTTATGAGGGTTTGGTCCCAAATCTCTATTTCAATTATTTAATTTAATTCTTTGAGTTTTATTATTTTCCTTGAAGTTACTAACATGTGTATTGTGTTATTAGATTGAGATACGAGACATCCAAGTAAGTACTTTAGTTGTTTAATTGATATTATGATATAGAAATCATGTT